TAGAATAATCATGCTTAAGTAAAGAATAAATAGTTCTGAAATCCATTCAACCTTGTATTGCATATTTCTTTATATTAGAAAGCATTTCTGGTGTGAATTTCCTAAACCTTGAAGCCATTTTATAATTTAATAGAGAGAGCTCATGATTATGAATATTAATATATGTATTAATTTTAACAACATTAGTTGTTTAGAACAACTAATATTAAGCCTTCAAGGGCACTGTATTTGTTGTAAAGATGTATCTTATCTTTTTAGCAGGTCAGAAGTTACTTGTGGGTTGTGTACACCTAACTTTGAATACTCATATATAACTCAACGCAATACTTCGCTATCTGTCTAACTCATCTAAATTTTATAGTTAAACCCTTCTTTTTTGGCAAAATTATTGATCCAGGCCTTAAATTCTATCCAATTTCCAAAAAGAAGCCGAACTTCTAATTCTAAATTAGTTTTTTTGTCTTCTAACTCTAAAGTACTATTGTGATCTATTATTGTTTCTAATTCTGTACTAATGGATTCGGAAGAGTACAGATTAATACTAAAATTGATCTTACAAAAAAATTCTAAAAGAGAATTTAGCATTATAATACAACTGATCCTTATAAAAGCTACTTACTTCTGATAAAGAAAGATCACTAGTTGCATTTACATAAAGTGAATATTGATTACTATCAAATATTGACAAGCCCAAGTTTTCTTCCTGCAGTTTTTTAATGTCATTAAAAAGGTGCTGATTGTTGCCATAATCTTTTATCATTATACTTACTTGAAGCAATAGTGAAAGATTATTATTTGCTAGATATTAGTTACTATCAAATATAAACAAGTCCAGGTCTTCTTCCTGCAGTTTTTAACATCATTAAAAAAAGATGCTGATTGTTTTTATAATCACTTTTTGAATAAAAGCTATTGCTATACTTACTTGAAACGATAGTAAAAGGTTATTATTTGCACTTGTATATGAATCAATTACTAATTGATCTGAAATTTCTTGAACTATTTTTTAATTAGAAGAAAAACTTAAGCAGAAAAGTGATTTAATTGAGATATAATAGAAGCGAAGTTAAAAACATTTCTAGTTTTTAGTTTTTCAGGTATGTTCTATATTTAGTTAATTTATAATTTTCTTTATCTCTATTAATCGAACTTTTTACACAACAATATTATGAAGTAACGTACATACTTATGAACGAACAATTAAGAAAAAGCAAAAACTAGTTATTGTTTTGATCGTTTGCTTATTTATTTGATTGATTACATATATTTGTATAAATTTTAAACCCCACAATAATCAAAATATACCTTATACAAATTAATTGCAATTTTTGATATATTACTATAAAATTGATATATTACATTATACTATTACATAACATGTGTATATACACATGTGTAATTTTAGAAATTTTCATCTACTGTTGAACCTCCCCCAAAACCGGTACGCATAGTGGGCAGATTTTGTATTGGTATTGAAAGGTTATCAGCTTTGCAAACATTATAAACTATTAGATTTATATAATGGAAACGTACTTGATAGACTAATTTTTTATCAGATTTGACAGGTTATCGATTTTGGAAGAATCGATTTTGGGAGGTTCAACAGTATATAATAATACTTTTTAAATAAATATAAATATTTCACTATATTAGATATAAAATAAATAATATTTATATTTATAATATGCTTTAATTTTTCTGATTTATATTTTTTTATAATTTATTTATTTATAGTTAAAAAGTCTTTTGCTATAATTAATTGCTTAATAATAAATATATCAAATTTTTATTTTTTATCTAAAGGTAGCAAATATTTTAAACCATATTTTAAATATTATAAAATATATTTTAAATATTTAAAAAAATATTTTAAATATTTTAAAACATATTTTAAATATTTTAGAACATAATAATATATAGAACTCTTCTTGTAGATCACTTTACCAAATTAGAAACAAGAAGAAAAAACTTTCTCATGCTATTTTCTCTAAATTTTATTAAGTAACTTGATATCTGGCTTCTAAATAAAGTTATCTAGCACCCTCAGGACTATCTAAAAAAGATCTAATTTTTGCTAAAAATCCCCTTTTTGGATAAACTACTAGCAATAAATATGTTAAATAGCAAAAAAGCAATTTTTCAATTCTCTTATAAAAGTGGTCCTATGAACTCCCAATTTTCAGATAATCAAAACAAACTACAGATAGTATACTAAGAAAAAACAGTAAGAAATAGCAAGTTCCATATTTTAATAAATCTTCAGACTTTGCAAAAAGCATGGCTTCTAAAAGCTCTTTAATTATTTTTTTTGGTCTACAAAACCTATGCAATCTAAAGACACTTATACTGTCAGCTTGCCCCTAGCTCAGATACAGAACACACAAAAATTTTCTAAACATCACTATTAAAAACTGGTTTAAACTTGTATTTAATATTAGCTTCTCTATTTCAAAGCATGCCAACATATTTGTCTTCTTTGTTGATATTACAAATCAGAAAAAATCTTGAACCTAACCAATTACTTACCCCAATGGATATGTAGACATAAAGATTTTACTTAATCTGACTTATTTAATTTCACAACACAAAAAAATAATACTGTAAACATTAGCACAAAACATCTAATTCTACACATAGCAGTAATCTCACAACAATAAATAAATTCTATGAAAGCAATATGAAACCTTACACAAAGGCTAAAAATAATGCAGACTTATCTATAATCTCATACAACTGTATTACAGACTTAAACTCAGACAATGAGTCAAACAGAAGCAATAATGAGCAAGCTTACATAGCAATTTTTACAAAGCTTAATTCCTTACAAGAGCTAATTACAGAACACACAAATAATAGCACAAGTGCTAATAATACCAATCTGGTACTACCTACAAACAATCCCCTAACCCTAATTCTACTAGTAGCTCTAACACAAACAACTCCAAGACTATTATGCTCAGATCTAGTACACCTACTCAATAAATTACACAACCTATACTTACCATACCTACCTCTAATCTTGCCCTTGCAGATACTATATCTAACTCTAGTTCAAATCACAAGATGCTCAAAATCCTGTTCAATATCTCATCACTCAATACAACTACCAACAAAGCTACTAAAACTATAGTAGGTAGCACATCTACTTTGGTTAGAATACAAGTAGGCAAAAAGCTAACCACAAAATCTATTTATAGTTAAGTAACTAATACTAATTTTAAACTTTTTACTATGAATGCTCCAGAGCATGAAATGAAGTGGGTCTCAGAAGTATATCTCAAGATTACTACACCAATCAACACCCTTTTTAACACAAATCTCTGGTTATTTAATCAATTACAAAAGCTTTCAAAACCCCTGATAGTATCTACAACTTTATTAGCTACAAGCTAATTACTAACTAAACAAAATACAAACTATCAAAGGCTATTGCACTCAAGTTTATACACCAGAATACTAGATTCTTTACTACTTTCACACACAACTCTAAGACTACTCCAGCACACCAAAAAGAATATACAAACCTTTTTAATACTGCTTTTGCAGTTTACAAGAAAGACAATAAAATCACACTCACTAATACCGCTATCTATAATACTATTTACTCTATATTTAGAAAGATGCTTATCTCGCAGCATCTTTTCAATATCAACTTCTCTCAGACTACACACAGTATGCAAGAGATTTTTTACAAATTAAAAATGCTAGTAAAGAAACCCTAAGGAAATTAAAGCCAAAATTATCAGTGCTCTTGAAACAAACTTATTTCACTACTTAAAATATTTGCTCAAATCTCTAGTGATATTTTAGAGATCCTGCTATTCAAACTTCTTATCACATATTGATTACATACTAGAGCTATAGTAAATGCCTTAAGAAGAATTTTAAAATTCTCTAAACTTCCAGAGATATACTTTGTTAAACTTCTACCACTTTCTTCTCATTACAATAGACTTATAGCTAGCCTACACCAACTATTATCAATCTCTCACTAATCTTTTCTTCAACACCTGGCAGCATATAAAAAAAAACTTGCAAACTTCTATACTATTACAAAAATTTCAGAAACTTATTTTAACTTGCCACTTTTCAAAAAACTATTATTTACTATCTACCAAGAGCTTAACTATAAAGTTTACAAATTCTTATCATACCACCAAGCTACTTCTACTATTCCACTTGCTAAAATCATCTCCTAGCTTAGAGAATAATATACTTTCAAGCTACTTCTTAATGCCTTTTTGCTACCAAATCTCTTCTTCCTACAGACTCAAGCAAAATTAAACCTATCTTCCCATTTAACTACCCTATTACAAATAATGCTGAGGCTACCGAATCTTACTTCCAATTCTAGCAAAAATTATACCATATAGCCACGAAATAACGCACAAGGGTGTTATTTCAAATTTTGGCCTGAATTAAGTTTAATTTAGGCTAAAATTCAGAATTACACCTCTGTGTATTATTTTGCAGCTATATGTACAAGCTAATCCAACTAATAAACCTACTCTGCTAGCTGCAAAAGAAATCACAGAATATCTCAACATTTTTTTTCTATTATAAACCCATAGCAACTCATAGCTATAGCCAAACTTCTCTGCAGATACTACTACTTTTTCAAGCTCCTATCTGAATAGATTCAAATTGAAGATAACTATTCTACTCCAGCAAATGAGACTAACTCAGCTACAAAGCAAACTCTTTCTAATATTTTTAACAATATAGATGAAATCATTAGCACTTTTTTTAAACATAAAATTATTGTCTTACTCTCAATACAAAACCAACTAGATATTACTTCTACTATGAAGATTCTAAGAAAATTTTACACAATCAAGAAAATTTTAAATTTCTTACTAGATCTTCTTTACTTCCTACTCTAAGCTGGAGTATCTTCAGTAGTGTACCCATAGTCTTACATCTGAATTCTCCTAATATAATCATGTCTATGCTAGCATTATACCAATACCAGATGATCTTATATATAATCCAACATCTACAGAGAATTTAAACACCATAGTACTAGTTTCTTCTACAGAAAACACTCTATCTACCAATAATAACACCCCTTCATTAGATATCCAATACCAATAGATACCAATAAACACTTTAATGAGTAGTCTCCACAATACACACATCTTCATAACTTCCAACTTAATATAAACAATACACTAAGCCCCAATAACCCCAAGCTAATATCTTCCAATTCATATCACTCTACCTACTTACTTTCTTTATCTGTACTCATAATGTATAAGGCATTAATACAAATACAAAAAAGGAGACCTGAAAGCACTACTGCTTGCAGCAAGATCTAGATATCATCTGTATCACAGAAACTAAACTATCTAACAAAACAACTACACAAAAGTGCCTCAAAACCCAATACTATACCTACTTCTGGTTCTGCACAAATAGTTTTAAAGCAAGAATAGCTATTATAGTTTGTACTTCCTCACTCCAAATATCCATGATATCTGCACTGTATCTGGATATGCTATAGCCATTAACCTTTTCTTCAAGCATGATTTCAAGTTTTGGATTATCTTACTCTACCTTCTTAACAATAATACATACCTCTGATTACAAACTCAAAACATAGTCATTTAGTGGCTACAATAAGCTAAAGTATTGAATATTGCCCCAATAGCTCTAGAAGACTTCAATGCATCTACAGAAAATAACTACTTCTAATCAATTAAATTTAAACTTCTTCAATACCTCACATTTAACAACATGTACAACCTAGCCTTACACTCT